AATATATATATATATATATATATATATATTTATATATTTATATATTAATATATATGTTTTTATTTATATATTAATTTTATTATTTTTTATCTTTTGTTTTAGTATTATATGTTTTATTTATAATATTTATCTATTAATTTAATTTTTAATTTTTTTTTTAACTATATAAATATATATATATTAAAAAATTTAACTTTTTTAATATTTTTATATAAATTTTTCTTTTTTGGTATATGAGTAAAAATATATAACTTTTTTAATATAATTTTAACCTTATATTTTTAAGATATTATTAAAAAATTATCAAAACATCTAATTATATAAATCTTTTGTTTTTTTTTATAATCATTCAATATTATCTTAAACTTCAATTCTATATAAGTAATAAATAATTTTTTATATTTTTTAAATTTTTTACTTATTAATATAATTAAATTCCTTAACTTTAATTTTATTTAAAACATTAATACTTTCTTCGTCTTTATATATTACTTTATTATATGTATATTTCTATTTAATTTACCTTATAAATGTTCTTTTTTTAATCTTATTTATATATATAATCCTAATTATTTTAATTGCTGTCAAAATTAATATCTACATCATCTTCAGGCTTTTTATTTTTATTTAATTTAAATATTAATAATTAATAAAAATAAACTTCATGTATTTAAGACAAAAATTCTTCATAAGATTAATATTAATGTTTTTTTTCTAAAAATACTTTTAATTACTTTTTATTTGTATAAGATTTATACAAAGAAAATAAATATTATATTATAAATAATTAACTTATTAAATATCTTCTATACTAAATGATTTATTGTTATTTTAATCTTGATCACTTTTATAAATACAATAATGTTATCCTAATTCGTTTCTATCATTTTAATTAGCAAACTCAAGGTAATTTTTTTTAAATAAATCCCATTAGTCATCTATTAATAGATTATAAATAAATATAAATATAAATATAAATATAAATATATTTATATAATATTTATTATATAATATTTATATATAATTTTATATATTTTTTTTATAATTACTTTAAATATATTAATTTATATCTTGATTTCCAAGAGCTAAAATATCAATAAAATTTGCGATTCTAGTTATATGCCCTAAATACCCTTTTCTAAACCCTCCACTCTAACTTTAATATATATCCGAATACACATTTTTAGTTGCATTTATTAAAAACTAAACAAATTCTGCTTCGATAAAAATCGATCTTTTCATAGAATATGACTCTATTTGTAAAGATTAAATAATTATTTTTTCAACTAACAAATGTAATATATTATTCCACTCATATTCTAAAAAAAGTTGTAAAAGTACATTATGTAATCTGTGTTATGCCAATTCCTAAATTAAATTAAATTAATCAAATTTAAATGCTAATGAAATTAATTCTATAGCCTTTATTTTTGCTAATCCTAATGGCTTTATTTCCATCAAATATGTTGTTTTTAATTATTATTGTTAATTTTTTTCTTCATTTTTAAGAAAATTAATTAATGTTATAATTTATTAACTGAATAAATCCAAAGTCTTTTAAAAATCAAAAAAGTTATTTTCTTATAATGTATTTTATGGAAAGCAATTTATAAAAATATTAAATAAATTTATCACTATATTTATATTATTTAATACAATCTAAGAATTTTTATGAGATAGATTTTTCATAAAAACACTAAAAGATTTTTCATCTAAAATATATTTTAGAATTTAATCCCCATCACTTATACATTAAAATTAATTACAAATCTCATTTAAAACATAAACGCAATTTATTTAAACTTCTAAATCATTTTCTTCATTGTTTATTTATTCTATTAATTTATCAATTAAACATTGTTTTAATTTATGTATTTACTATTTGTCTCAAAGCATTAAGTACATATTATATTTAATAATAATTCTGATATAGATCTACTATGCAGTTAATTACGTATATCTAATAATAAGTTATATTGATTATATATATAGTTTAACATCTATTATATATGGTATATATTTTTATTTTTTATTTTTATTACTTCATCTTCTTTCCAATTATTTTCGTTAATTTTATAATGAAGAATATAATTTTGTTACATAACCAGCTAGTATTAAGTTAACTGGTATTTTTTATTGAAAAAATGTTAATAATAATCCAAATAAATTCATACTATCTTTCTAAATAAATGTCGATTATTTTTATACTCTTTATAAGTTTTAATTTATTTACTCGTCAATTTATATTTCGTTCTCTTTATCTTCATATTTTAATTAAATAAATGATTATCTTGTAGGTGGTAAGTCGTTTTCGCTTGAATTTTCTTATGAAATTGTCTATTCTTCATATTTTCTTTCAAAAAATTATTATTGAATTATATTTAGATTTGAACATAAAATTTCACATGATATATATGGATATCTATATTAATATAATTTTTTTATTTTAAAAAATAAAAACATAAAAAACCTATATTATCTATTTTAAGAATCATTTAAGGATGGTTCTTAAATTATATATAAAACCATTTAATTGAAATCATCATTTGTTAATCTATTTTATTTTTTTAATAACAATTTTGTTTATTAATTTTTGCTTAAAATTTATCTACTTTAAGATACTGTTTTGAATACTATTTCTATCATCTAGATTTATTATGTTTACGTTTTCTAATAAGTTGTGTAAATTCTAAAATTATATTGATTCAGTTTCTATATTAATATTTTAATTCATAATTAATTTTTAACTAATTTAAAATTTAGTTTTTTTTTTTTTTTTTTATGATTATTGAGAAATTTTATTTAATATTTTTTTAAAAAATAAAAATAAAAAAATGTATCTATTAATAAAAATATTTATAAATAAAAAATATTTCTTATCAATCATATATATACTATATTACTAATATAAAATTCATCTTTATGTGTTTAATGCAAAATAAATATAGAAATAAAATAATTTATAAAAAATACTAAAAATAAAAAAATATCTAATGTATTTTATTATTATTATAACAAATATTAATATTTTTTTTAATTATATATTTATTAGTATTTTATATATTAAATTATTTTTATTTTATTTTAAACATATTTTTTATTTAATTTTATTTTAATATTTTAGTATATTTTGTTAGATAAATTAGTATCTAATTTTTTTTTTAACTAATTAAAAATAATTTTATATAATAACTCTTTTTCTATTACAAATTTATTTTTAATTATTATATAAAGATGTTTTTTTTTTTTTTTTAATAAAAAATTAAAATAATCATATATAAAAAAAATTAATTTATAAATAAAATTAAATATTTTTATACATTACATATTATAAATATTTAAAATATATAAATATTATATATTTTTAAAAATAATTTTAATTTTTATAATATATAAATAATTACTAAATTTATTATATAATATATAAATATATATATAAATAATATATATAACAATTTATCAATATAATTTTATATTAAATATATATTTAATTATTACAAAATTTTTTTTTTTTTTTTTTTAAAAATAAATAAATAATAAGTATAATTATTTCTCAATATGACATCAAAGCTTTTTAAATATATTAAACAGAGCTAACTTTATCATAATTATTAACTAAATTATCATGATTATTTAAATTATTATTTTCACAATTCTATAATTAATCTAAAATTTTTAATTTTTATTCATCATTTTATTAAATATGTAAAATTTCAGAAATAAAATCTCCAATTAAATTTTCAAAAATAAATTCTGATATTTCAACTTAAATCTTTTAAAAAAAAATTAAATTAAATAAAATATAAAAAAATTACTTCAGTTTATTCATCATCATACATTATCCATCTATATTCATTCTAAACAATTTCCATTTTTAACATTTTAAGGAATTTTTCTTCTTTCATTTATTCTAAATCATATTAACTTTAAATACTTTTTTCATTTTCATCCAATCCACATCTTAATTATGCCCATTAAATAACTTATTTTTAAGCCTAATTTATTATATTATCCACATCTTCAATATTAATTTTTTATTCATGTAATCTTGAATTATCTAATTTCCAAGGAAAAGGTCTTCCGCGAAGTCCGAAAGGCCTATAATTATCTAAAGCCTCATTAAGGCAGTCAAAAAGAACTTTGTTATGTATATGTTAACTTTCTTTTATTAAATTTTAATTAAATTCATTTATAAAAGATATTTATTTATTTTCAAAAATCAACTTTTTTTCAAATTCTTAATATAAATTAGTATTTAATATAGCCTAATGCTAAAACATAGAATCAGAAGAACTATTTAAGCTTTAATTTTAATCGGAAAAATGCAAAAGCTTTAACATTTCTAAAGATGTTGGACCAAGTTATATATTTAAATTATGTAAAAACTCATTTTTATAATTATCTTATTAATAAATTATAAATATATATATATATGTATATATTATAATTACCTTTTATATAATTTCCTAAAAAACAAATATATTCTTAAACAGCTTCTAAATTAGTTTTTACTAAATATATTTAATCATTTTAAGTTCCTATTTTTTATAATTAATTAAAAATACATAATTTTATATAAATTACTTTATATTGTCTTTAGACTATTAATTACATATTAATTTCCTTTAATCTCTATATTATTTTTGTTTTTTTAAAATAAAATAATATTTATATATTACCTTCTAAAAATTCTATAATAATCAATTCGAAAATAAAATTCGAAACTTTTTCTTTTTTTCATAAATTTAATTATTTTATTTGCTCGAAAATTAAATTTCTTCATTTTCATTTTCATCTTCCTCTTCTTTATATTCTTCCATTTCTTCACTATTATATTCTTCATTTATTTAAAAATTATTACTTAATTATAAATTATTCTATATTTTTTTATATTAAATAATATATTATTTAAATTATTTATTAATACACTTTAATTAATTTAAGAATTCATAATTAAATTATCACATTTAAATGTTTTTTCTTCTAAAATCTTTTCTTTTTATAAATTAAATTATTCAATTTTAATATCATTTTAATCATTCAAAACACTATTTTTTAGCACAATTTAATCTTCAGATTGCAAATTTTCCCAATCTATACTTGAATATTCTTTATTTTTTTAATGAATACTTTATACAACCTTTATATCAGGAGTTTATTCAATACTCTAAGAATTATAATTTAAAGAAATATTTTGAACATTTGAATTTTTAACATCTGTATAATATTAAAATTAATCATTATTATTATTAATACTATTATAATTAATACTATTATAATTAATACTATTATAATTAATACTATTATAATTATTACTATTATAATTAACACTATTATAATAAACATTATTATTATTATTTTAAGAATCAAATATATTTTTTTATTATAAGCTTTCTATTTTATTTTAAAAAATATTCGAATCATTTAAATCTGCACTAATACTATTAAATACAACCTATTTTTAAAAATTTAACAATTATTGAGAAATATTATTATTTTTTTTAGAAAAAGTCTACTATGAATCATATTTTTTTAAATAATTTAAAGTCTATTAAAAATTGTTTTTTTTACAATTTTTCCAAGTAACCTATATATCATTTTCTGATTCAGATTTACAAAGGAATTTTTTATGTTTATTACAAAATAAATTATTATTATAGTATTCTTCGTTTAAATTATTATTTTTTATTTTTCTCATAAAACATATATCTCTTACAGTACCCTAAATGCATTTATTTACAATTTTTTACTAAGTATTTTCCCACTCTTATTTTGTTTTATTTAGATCTTCTTGTTCTTTATTTACCCATTTTTCAAGTTATAAAGATGTCCATTAATATTTTTTTTGGGAAATTTTATTTTTTTCTAACATTTTTTTTAACTCATTTTCGTGGTAAATTTATTCTTCTTGTAAGGCTTTTTGTCTTAATTCTATAAAAAAATCTACATTTTTTTGTTAAGATAACTCAGTATATTTTTTCATAGTAAAATTTTCAAAAGAATTTTAATTAAATAAACATGAATTTGATATGTCAAATTCTTTATAAATATTTTATTGAATAAATTATATTGTATTTTATTACTATCACTTTTCTTTTGATTATCATCGTCAATTTACAAATTTTAAATAGTATTTATTTATAACTCTATTTTTTGTTACTTTTTATTTTTTATAAAAATTAAATTTGCTAAAAAAATAATATTTGAAACTTGTTTTTCTATTTATAATTCTTTTTAAAAAATTTTTAATGAAGATCTTATTTTTTATTAATCATAAAGAATTTTTTGCAATTCTTAATTTTAATCCTTTTTTTAAAAAAAAAATTGATAAATATTTTTATATTTTAAGAAAGAGATATAATAATATAAAAAATTATAAATAATTAATATAAATAAAAATAATAACTAAAGAATCAATATTAAAATAATTTTTTATTAAAATTAAAAAAAAAAAATATTAAATTATATAAATATATAAAAAATATAAATATATTTTTGTTTATATATATATTTATATATATATATTGTCTTATAAAATTTAAATTTATTTCCTTATTATTATTATAAGTTAAAAATAATAAAAATTTTTTTTTTTTTTTTTAAGTATTAAAAAAAGGCAAATTATAACTAATTTGTAAAAATATAATATATTTTTATATATAAATATATTTAATTCATACCTCTATATTTTATTTTGAATTATTTTATTCTTAATTATTATCTGATATTGTTTATGATTCTTAAAATTACTAATCTCTTTTTTATTTTTAAATTATTTATTCATTTACATTATTTTTTAGAGAACTATTACTTTTCTCATCTTCATTTTAATCATAAAAATCTTTATTATTTAAGCTATATTTATTTTAAACATAAAATTATTATTATTCAATATATTCTTATAATTAATAAAGCTATTATTCACTTAAATAAATTTACTATTCATTTTCAATAATATATATATTATCATTTTCATCCCTAAACATTTCTTTCGTTAAAAGATAATCAAAATCGATTTAATATTATTATTCTTCTTCTTTCTCTTCCTCTTCCTCTTCCTCTTCTTCATTTTAATTTGAATTTTCTTATAATTAATTATTGTTCAAAAGTTCTAAATTTTCCATATAATTATTATAAATTTAATGATCTTATACAAATATGTTATTTTCTTAAAAAATATTATTATTAGAACAAAAACTCTTCTCTAATTAATAATTATTAATTTCATCCCCTTAATTATTCATTTTATTTTATTATGTCATTAAATTTTTATCATATTAAGATTCATTTTAATAATTGCTTATTATTTCATCATTAAAATTACTACTTTATGATTTTTCCTAAAATTAATTTAAACCAGGCTAATTAAGCATATCTAGTTTTAATTTTTGACAATCTTATCCTTACATAATTAATTTTTCTTAAAATGATAAATTGACACTACTTTAAGTTTACATAACTTTTTATAAGTTAAAAAGTAAAAACTAATTATCAATTTTTAATTTTTTTATAAATCTGAAAAATTACTTTAATTAATCTAATTAAAATTATCAATAATATTTCTATCACTTTATTATATTGATAAAGATTATTATTAAATTTCATTTTAAACATTAATATTTAATTTTTATTTCTAATTTTAATTTTTTGAGATTTTTTAATCATAATTATTGTCATTTTATTTTTGTAAGATTTTTTATTCATATGTATTTGATTCGATTTTTTATTATTATTTTAAATCAAATTAACTGTTATTCGAAAATTATTATTATTATTATTATTATTATTATTATTATTATTATTATCTATTATTTCTATTTTTTTTATTGTTATTGTTATTGTTATTTTTATTGTTATTGTTATTGTTATTATTTTTATTATTATTGTTATTATTATTATTTATCTATGTTTTTTTAATTTTCTTAATGTTAATCTATATTTTCATTCTCTTATTTAGTTATTTTCTATTTTATAAAAGAGTCATTTTTTTCATTTATTTAACAACTATTATTTAAACTTTTAATTAATTAATTTTTTTAGTTTTTTAATTATTAAAAATATATTTCAAATTCCTCTTATGTCCATTTTTCATTATTTAAAATTTAATATTCTTTTAATTTTTATTTTAAAATATCATCTTCATTATTTTCTTATTAATTATTCTCTATTTCTTAAGCAAATAATTATAAATGATATTTTAAAATATTTCTTATTTAATATCCTTTCCATACTTTTTAAATAATAACTGCAGCTTAATTTTAAATTTCTTCCAAAGAGAAATTATTTTTTTTTTTTTATTATTTTGATTCATTTATTTTTGTACTTTAGTAATTTATTGAATTTTAAATTGCTTATTATTCTATATTTCTTATTTCCTTTAAATTTTTTAATTCTTCTTCATCTAAATTCTCCTCTATATCTTATTCTTCTTCTTCTTTAAATTTGCATGTTGAAAAATAATTATCATTATTTAGAGATTTTTTTTAATTAAATAAACTTTTTTATAAAGAATCTGTATTAAGTTATTATTAATGATTTTATATTTATAAATTCTTTTATAATAAACATGATATTCCAGACTAACTTGATTCCGAATGTATTTCTTCTATATCTAATCTTTCATCTAAATTATCTGTTTATAGAATATCTTCTTCATTTGAAATTTGAATTTAATTTGGATTTTAAAGATTAGTAAATTATTAATATCTTTAAGATATTTTTGTAAACTATTCACAAAGTTACTTTTTTTTCTCATTTATAAATACTTCTTTTTAATTATTATTATTAATATGAAAAGTATTTTATTTATATATTTTTTTATTTTATTATTTATTATTTTTTTAATTTAATATAGTTTCAAAATTATTATTTCTGTTTTTAAAGGAAAATGTATTATTAATTATATTATTTTATTTAGGTTTATTTAAAGATTTCTTTCTCTTATCATTTTTTTGAATATTTAACTTTTATATTAATTTTTTTTAAATGTATTTTTGTTAAAAGAAAAAAAAAAAACTACTCTTATATTAATTTCTATTCTAATATTTTCCTATGTTCATTATATAAATGATTATATTTTCTATCTAATTCTTCGTTTTACTAATTTTAATAAATATCATATTGCTAATCATAATTATAATTTATATTAGTAATATTGTTTTTATTATTTTCATTATTAAATGTTTCTAAAGCACTTTTTTTTTCTATGTTTCACCTCCTGATATACTTCTTATTTATCTTTTAATTATTTTTTTTCTGGTTTATTATTTAAATTGTTTATTATTATTTAAAGTTCTATTTGATAAATCGGTTTTATTTAAATAATTTTTTATATTATTTTCTTAATTATTTATTGTATTTATATTAATATCATTAATATTTTATTACTATAATGTATATTATTTTAATTAATTATTATTTATGTATACCTTTTTTTTAGGTTTTTATTAAATTCTTTATTAATCATTTTATTTTAAAAAGATACCACTATTATCTTATATTTATTAATTTTTTTAAAATATATAAATATAAAAATATATACTTTTATTGATAAATATGATTCTAATTTCACTATCATTATTATTACTATTTTAAAATTCTTTTTTTTATAAATTATTTCTAATTGGACTGTTACTTTCTTGATCTTTAATTTTAAAATTTTTATATTTATGCTAATTATATCCCCAAGGAACTTTCTGTATAGATTTTACTTTCGATTTAGAAAATCTTGATAAATTTTTCATTCTTACTTATTTATTTTTTAATTGTATTTCAATTTTTTTAAATTATTTTATTCTGTTATCAAGGCTATTTAATCTTTCATTTTATTTTTGAAATTTTTAGTCTATATATATAAAAATAATAAATTATATATATATATATATATTATTATTTATTATAAATATATATTTATATTATATATTTAGAATTTTACATTATTTTTTTTTTATTTAATCTTTTTATTTGGCAATCATAGGTATAATTTACTTTTTTTCTTTAAATTTTATTTTTTAAAAATATTATATAATTATATATTTACATTTAGGTGAATTTTAATTTATATTAGAATCTTTATCATTTTCTATTTTATTTATACGAGCAGATGTTTTTTCAATACTTTTTGATCTAGTTTTCTATTCTAATTATTCATTTCTTTAATAGAAAGTTTTATTATTTTTATTATTATTATTTTAATAAAAATAATGTTTTTATAAATTTAAAGAATATTCATTTTATATATTATTATGATTTTCAATATTTTAATTATTATATGAATTCATTTAATTATTTTCTTAATACAATTTAATAATTTTTTTTTTTTTTTTTTTTTTTATTGCTTGTTATTTTTTTTATTGTTATTTCGATTATATTGAATTGATTTTTGTTTAAAATATATTTTTTGTATTATTTTTATATTTAACAGGCATTTCTACGGGCATATCGATAATATCATAAATATTTTCTTAATTATTATTTTAATTCCCTTTATTTTATTTTTTTTAATTTTTTTAAATATAATTTTTTTTACTCGATTTGCTTCTTTTTTTTTATAGTAATGAAATTTCATCATTTTTAGTTTTTATTTTTTTAACTTAAAAAAGATTATTAATTAATTTATTATTCTCTTTATTATATTCTTCTTTTTAATACATCTTTTTTTTTTTATTATAAGATTATAAAAATTTAGTTTTTTTTTTTTAAAAAAAAAAATACATTTATTTTATTCAGAAATATCAATATTGTAATATTATATATACTTATTTTTTTTTTTTTTTTATTTTTTTAAACAAAAAAAATATTATTAAAAAATTATAAAATATAAATTAATATTCAAAAATAAATAAAATATATGTTTAAAAGACATTTGAAATGTAAAGTCTATAATAATATTTTAATTAAAATTTAAAAAATGATTTTAATATTTAAAAAATGTTTGATTTTTTATTATTTAACAATTTCAGAAGAAAATTAAAATTTCTTTTTGATAAAAAAAAATATTAATTAAGATTACTTAATATATATTAATATTTTTAAAAAATAAATATCTAATAAAATATACTTAATTAAATTTTAATTTTTATAAAACTATATATATTTAATCAAAATAGCCTATATTTATAATTTTAATTTAAAATCCAAATTATTAATTATAAATAATTTTTTTAAAAAAAATACATTAAATTTAATTTAAAAATAATTTTATACTTTTATATACTTTTTTAAGAAATAATATATATATATATATATATATATATAATATATAACTTTAGCATTAATATATAATAATAAACAAATTAATATATTATATAAAAATAATAATATTTATCACACATTTGATTATACACTTCTAGCTCTTTCCAAAACCTTTCTAATATATTCATCTCTTTCAGATTAATTCATAAATCCTTTTTACTATATAATATCTTTATTTTCATTATCTTATTAATTTAACTTATTGTTATTATTTTTAACATCACTATTATTTAATTATTAATTATTAATGGATTAAATAATATCATTATTCTAAGTTTAATTATTATTAAACTCTGAATTTTTTTCTTATTATTATTTTTAAGAAGACCCTTTATATTAATTTTATTTAATATTTTCTACAATTTCATCTTTATGAGCAATATTAGTTTAATTTTATATTTTTTAAGAATTTTATTCAGATATATTAGATGGTACAAAATTTGAATTAAAAATTTAAATATCAATTTTCGAAGGGTTTATTTCATTTTCAAATTCTAATTTTGGACTTTAAATTATTTAAGAATTTTATATATTTTTAAAAGAACTATCTTAAATATATCTTTCAGGAACATTATTTTAAACAATACAATTTGTTTATTATCCTGATAATGGATCAAAATTATCAGTATTTTATGTATTTTACAAATATTAATTCTAAAATTATCTATTTAATGAACATTATTATAAAATATCGTTAATGATATTATTATTTTTAATGTTATTACTAGTATTATTATTATTATTATTATTATCATTATTATTATTATTATATATTATTATAATTATTATTATTATTATTTTGTCATTTTAATTATTTATATTGTATTTTTTATTATTATTGTTATTTTAATTATTCATATTGTTATTGTTATTATTTTTGTTATTGTTATTTTTTTTATTAAAATTGTTATTGTTATTATTATTGTTATTATCATCGTAATTATTTATATTATTATTGTTTCTATTAATATTATTATATTATTTAATATTATCATCATTTATTTAATTTTTACAAATTTCTTAATAATTTTATTTGTCATTCTAAATTACATTCTATTATTCTAACAAATAATTTTAAACTTCTATATTTTTTTTATTAATTACTGAAATATCAATAATTGATAAATTATCTGCTTTATTTTTTTGGAAATATTCACCATTACATTCTTTTTCTAACGCTTCTAAAGAAATTCTATCATTTTCTTTTTCACAAAGCATTTTCTACATAATATTAAAAATCTAAACTGAGTAATTTATTTTTACTTTTTCCAATAATATAAGCACATAATTCCAATTAATTTATCCTTTAATTACACTATAACAATTTTTAGGAATATTTTCTAAACTAGCGGCTTCTAATATACTCATCCCTAACGAAAAAACATCACTTTTAAAACAATTATGAACTGGAGAACATTTATATTCTTTTAAACAATTCAATAATTAAGGAGAAATATAACAATCTTCAGTTTATCCTGTCATAACTTTATGATAAAGGGAAGTTGGGTGTGGATCTAAATACTCTTCTCCTAACTTAATATATCCGTATTAATTAATTAAAATATTATAAGGTCTCACATCACTATGAGTGATATTTTTTTATTTTAAATATGCTAATATACTACTAACTGAAATTAGTATATAAATTAATTCCTACTCAGAGTATTTTGATGAAGTTCTTATTCTATCATATATTTCGTTTTTTAAATTATTATTATAGTATTCATACAAAAAGCCTATTTTATAATAAGAAGAACAAAATTCGTTATTTCTACAAGAATTAAAATTAATTAATTTTATCAAATTCTAATGGTCTAAATTTAATCTAAAAGACAAATCTTATTAGCGACTTTAAAGATCATGTTCATCATTATATGTACGGAATGTCTCAGAATATTATTAACCGCTTAGCTTGTTTTAAATAAGTGTCATACGACCGTATCTAGGATCAAAAAGAATAGTAATATTTTCATATAATTGAGAATTATAAAGAGGACGATCTAAGAAAGATGAGGAAAAAGTAATTGCATTTCCCATTTTTATTTAAAATATATAAATAAATATATATATATATATATATATATATATATATATATATATATTTTATATATTTATAATATTAGTTTTATTTTTTAATTAAATTATATTAAAAAAATTAATTTTAAGATAATATAATTGTTTTAATAAAGAAAAACTAATGTTTTTTAAATTTTATTTTATTGTATTTATTGTATTAAAATTTATTTATATATAATTTTTTTGTTTTATTTACAAAAATAAATATAATTAATTTTTATTTTTTATTTTATTTAATTTTATTTTGATTAGTTTTATATTTTTTTATTTAAAAATATTTTTATTTTATTAAAATCAAATAATTTTTTTTTATCTTATTTTATTTAAATAATTGTTTTTATAAAATATAAATTGAGTAAAAAATTTAATAATATAAAAAAAACAATAAAATAATATATATATATTATTATTTTGTAATTATATATTTTTTAAATATATTAAAATTTTATTAAATAAAAAATAATAAAAAGCTAAAGGCTGTTTATTATGAAAGCGGATAATTTTTATTATTTATTTTTTTAAAAAATTATAGAAAAATAAATGAATATATAAAATATATATATATTATATATATATATATATATATATATTAATAAATATATTTTTAATTTTATTTGTAAATATATATATTATAATTGTAATATATTTAATTTTTATTTATATACTTATAAACATTTTTTTATTTAAATTAATAATAATCTGTTAATTATAATTTACAAAAAGTTATATAAATAATATTATATTTTATATTTCTCTATTAATAATATAAATTATATATATCTAAATTAATAAAATAAATTTTCAATTTTAATTATATATTTTATTTTTAGAAATTTTTTTTTGTACAATTTTTAAACTTATTTACATTTTTTTAAGATAAATATTTTTTTATTACTTAGATTTTTTTTTTTTTAATTTATTATAAATTAATATTTTTTTTTATTTAATAAAAATAAATAAAATATAATTATTTAAATATATGATTATATATAATTTATTTTTATAAACAACAGAAATTATTTAATTATTTATTAATTTTTAATTTAATTAGATTATTAATATTTTAAATAATAATATTATATATATTTATAATATTTAAAATGTATATTTTTTTTTAAATATAATATTAAATTATTTATAAAAACTTAAATTAATATTTTATTATTTGTGATCAGATAATAATAAATAATATCTTTTATAACATTTTAATTAAAATTTAATATAAATACATAAATAATAATATAATAACAAAAATGTCTGAAATCCCAAGATTTTTAACCCAAAAACAAGCTTAATTACGTGAATAATAAATCGTATAAAACTCTACAGAATACCATTTATAACTCCTTTTAAATGAATTTGACCGTTACTAAGGAATTCTCGATGTATCTTTCGTTACCTAAAACTGTACTCATGACCTATTCCTTGACTACAGTGGCTAAAACCTTGAACATGTTCTAATAAACGGAAAAGAAGTATAAAAAACTTAAAATTCCTACAATAATATATGGGATGGCTTATTTATTAGAGTACCTTCACATTACCTTATAAATGGTAAAAACTAAATTTCTATATATTTCCATAGTGAATATGCTAATAATGGTTTAGGACTTCATAGCTTTGTAGATACAGATTAGAAATAATACATTTACTCATAATGTGAACCTTATTGGTGTAATAAAATTTTTCCTTGTTTCGATTAACCGGATCTTAAAGCTACTTTAAACTTAGTTATTATAGGACCTAGTAAATGGGTTTTATTAAGTAATGAGAGTCCTATTAATTAACAAAAGAAATTTTCTTTAGAATAATATTAATAAAATTTATAAGGAAATTATTCGAAAACTTTCCTTAATTAACTAATTGGAAATATAAAAGATGAAAATTAATATTAATACGTTTTTTATAAAAAAACTTAAATATTACCAACTTATCTTTTTGGTATTGTAGCAGGACCTTATGCTGAAATTAAATATTAAAATACACATAAAGTATATATATAAATATTTATATATATTTATTTAATTTTTTAATTAGAATATACCTATGAGTATTTTTTCAAGAGAATCTTTACTTCCTCATCTTTAAAAAATGTCTGATTTTATTTTCGAAGTAACAAATGATTCAATGAGGCTTTTCGAAGAATTTTTCGGTTATCCCTATCCTTTTTCTAAATACGATTAAGTATATGTTCCTGAATATAATGTAGGAGCTATGGGTAACTTTAAAATAAATAAACATATATATATAATTTTTAAATATATATAAAAAATAAAGAAAATGCCGGATTAGTTACATTTAATGATTTATATGTATTTAGAGAAACCGTAACTGCTTCAAGAATGACTAGTTTAGCAAATACTATAACTCATGAATTATCTCATCATTGGTTCGGTAATTTAGTGACAATGAAATGGTGGAACGATTTATGGTTAAACGAGTCTTTTGCAGATTTTATTTCTCACTTCATTTTATCTAAAATGAACGTCAAATCAATCTAACTAGTAGACATTTGGGTGAAATTTAATGTCAATAAATCATGGGGATATCGTACTGATTAATTAATAACAACACACCCAATAGCATGTGCTGTAGAAAACACAGAAGCTGCGGATTCTATATTTGACGGAATTTCATATTCTAAAGGATCAGCTACTCTAAGATAATTACTATGTTTAATGGGAGAATAGTCTTTCTCTAAAGCCCTATAGACTCATTTCCATAAATACGCATTTAAAAATGCTACACTAGATGATTTCATAGAAGTCCTAAATGAAGAATTTTAAAAATCAAATTAATATCCTTTCAGCTTAAACGAATGGTAATAGAAATGGATTTAAACAGCCGGCTTAAACGAATGTTAGCCTATTTTTAACAAAGAAAGTAAAAGTAAAGAAACTGTCCTAAAAATCAAATAAACTGCAGCCTTATAATAACATCCTACACTAAGAAGACATAAAATGAAAGTCGCATTTTTTGACTCTGAAGGAAATGTAACCAGTTAAGACGTTCTTTTGGATGAAAAAGAGGAAACTAGTATAGTCTATGATGGCTCTAAAAGTGAATTTTAGGCAGTCCTTTTAAATTATTAGGATTTTGCATTTATTAAGGTACTTCTAGATGATTTATCCATAGTTTTCTTTAAAAATAATATGCATAAAATAAAAGATGTTTTAACAAGAAATTTAATCTGGAGAGCATTCTTTGATATGGTCAGAGATGGTAAATTATCATCTGAGGAATATTTCGATATTTTCATGACTGCAATACCTCATGAACAATCAGATGATATAATCACTAATTAACTTATGTTTTTGAACAGTGCTTATTCTTAATTTACACCTAGAAAATACTAAAATTAACTAGCAGCTAGAATGTTTAATTTTCTAGTATCTTATCTATTAAAAATACCTAAAGAAAATAAGAATAGAATTATTGAAATCAAAGATAAACTAGACTTTTTTGCAAGAAATAATGAACATATCGTATATCTTCTAGATTGGTATAATGGAAATAATTAAGATCTAAAAGATTTCGAGTTAGGAAATTCTATTGAATGGAGAATTGTTAGTTTAGTACATAAAAGTAAGAAATTTACAAGAGATTAAAAAAATTCACTTTTTAATATTTAATCTTAAAAAGATTAAACTGATACTAAATATAATTATGAATATAAATGTATTAAAAAATATATAAATATATAAATATATATATATATATATATATATATATATATATTTATATATATAAAATAGGCAAAGCATTAGATGCTAATTAATAAGAAAGAGAATAATTATGGAATTCTTATATTAATTATGATGGAAAAACCTCTCTTAGAAGAATATAATTTTCGTGGAGTGGATTTTCTTAGACATTTAATCCTGATGAACTGGAGCCTTATTATTAAAAATTCTTTGATTCAGTGATTGTAATTCATAGTAAATAAAATAAAGAATATGCTAATGATTTTTATCAATATCTATTTCCAGTATCTGAAGATTGGGATAGACTTATAAAAAGTTTAAATTAATTAAAGAGTGGATTAAGCGATAAGTATGTTCATTTACATAGACATATTAATGAAAGTATTGATGATATTAATAGAAAATAAAAAAATCATTAATGTTTTATGTAACGAGCTAGTCTTGCTAAAATGTGAGCATAATATTTTTTTAATAATAAAATTATTTATCATATTAAAAAAATAAAAATTTAAGATTTATATATATTTATTTAATATATATATATATATATAATATATATAAATATATATATATATATATATATTTTATATATATTTATCATGTTTCATCATAACTTTTTTAAAAAGTAGCTTTTCTTAATTTAGCATTAAATACTATATTTTTTTATTTTATAGTTTATTATTTTTGTTAATTTTTCGGAATTTTAAAATCAGTTGAATTTGATTATAAATATTTTCTTTTCTTAAATTATTAATAGGTTTAATTATTATCCTCAACTTTATTTTATAAAGAATTTCCTTCTTAAAAAGGCAGTAAAATATTATTTTTTTAAATAATATTATTTAAATTCATATTGAAAATATTATTTTATAAATTATTTTCTGACCTATATTCCGAAAAAACATTTTTTTTTATATTTTTGTATCTTTTTTCTAATTAAGGACTATTTACTATGACAAAATTATCATTAATAGGTTTATTTACATCCTAATCTGATTTCTATTTTTTTTTAAAAAAAAAAATAATATTTTTTAATATTATTTTTATAATTAACTTATTAATTTTAATATGTTTTATTATTATTATCATGATTTTAAGATACAGATTTTTTATAAAAAGGAGCTAAAAATGTAACTCTATTATTAAATTTTTTTAAATTACACATTGATTTTTTATCTTTAACATTTGAAATTTAAGTTATTTAATTAAATATTTTTTTCTATTAATTATTTAATATAGGATATTAACTATCATCATATTCTACTGATTTTTTAGAATTATTACTTTTTAATATACTTTTATTATTTAAATTTATATGTCTACTCAATGCGTTTTAAGAAGGTTTATAAAAAGGATTAATAAGAGATTTATTTCTTTGAAATTAAATAAGACCTTTCGAATAATTTTATAAAACTAGATTATCTTTTTCATATATTAAAAAGCTTATTGATTTATTTAATTTTTTTTTTTTTTTTAAAGGAGAAATTTCTTAATTTAATTTACTTGTTTCATAAGAATTACCTTATTTTTAAAAACTACCATATTTTATGCTTTATTCATCATCCAAAATTAATGTTTTTCGAATAAAATTCATATTTTATTCTTTTGCGTCTATAAATTTTTATAAATTAAAAGCATTTAAACCAAAAAAAGTATTTTTAACTATTTATTAATTTAATAGATCTTAATTTGATTATTAATATTAGCTAGTATTATTATTTTCTTATGTATGTAATTATTTTAAAATAACATTTTGTTATGATTATTTTAAACTATTATTATATTTTCCAACTTCTTATTATTTTTCTTATTATAATTCTCTCCATTAAGACCTTTTTTAAATAGATAATTTTATTTTTTCAAGTGTAACTTAATCATGTTTTAAATATTATAAGAATTTCTAATTATAATAAAAAAATATATTAATAATATAAAGATATAAATATATAAATATATATTTATATATATATAAATATATATAATATATATAATATATATATTTTATAATATATATATATATATATATATCTCTATATACTTATGCAGGCAACATGTAAATGATTCCAGTATGTGATACACATTCAACTTTATATTATCGTTTTTCATTATTCATAACTTCCTCTTCCCCAAAAGAATTTGCTACTCCTAAAAGTGTAATTCTACTATATTATTTATTTATATTTTTATTTTAAGAATTATAAATATTATAAATATCTTAAATATCCTTGCAATTTGATTTTATTTATTCCAATTATTTATTTCTTTTGAAAAGCTTTATTTTAAAAAATATAATTTCATACAAAAAAAATACTTAAAAATCTCCCTCTTTTATAAAATAAACAAAATCAGCAACATCACCATCTATTTTTATTTATTAACATAAAATATAATATATTATTATTTTAAAAACCTAAATAAATTATATCATTTTTTCTAACATTTCTTATTTACATATTTTAATATAAAGCATTAATTGTGCTACATTTCCAGTCTGAAAAAACTTAAAATCCCTTTAAAAAATTAATACTTTCAATAAACTTCTTCAAATGATAACTTGACAATATTTAACCATAAGAATCTTTACTTAAAGTTGCGAAAATAGAATCTTCTTTACAAAAAATACTAGCCGTTCTTCTACAATTATTCATCAAAGCAATTTCACCGAAAGCATCTCCTACTTTTAATTATTTAATAATCTAAAACCCCTAATTTTAATCTATGATTTTTTATTTAACTTAATATTCATCTAAAACTTAATATTCTTAAGATTAATAATCGAATTAAGATTAAGTATTAATTAATGTATTTTTTAATTTAAAAACAACATGTTGAAATTTAACTATACCAATAACTCTATCTTGCAATATATATATTAATATATATGTAAAAATATATAAAATTATTAATATATTAAAATACTTAAAGTATATTATTATAATCTTTTTTAATCTAATTTGTAAATATTTTTTTATTATAAATTTTAATTATTTTCATCAAACTATTCTTTTTTATTTATTTACTTTATATTTTTTTTTTATAATTATTATTAGGTTTATTATTATAATTATTATTATTATTCTTATTATAATTCTATTTCTTTATTATTAGGAATATTAGGAATTAATAAATATGCTGATCCACTTAAAATAATATAATATTTATGACCAATATCATCTAAAAATTTTTAATTATTATATATAAAAAAATGATATAAAATATATATAAAATAATTAAATAGAAAAAAATATATTTATATATATATATATATATATATATATATATATAAATTATATTTTTGTATATATTTTTCTTTATATTTTTATAATGATTATAAATTTTTATTTTTTATTTTTAAATGTTATAATTTTATATTAATAATTTAAATATTTATAAATTATTTATATATATTTTTTTTTATATATATTTATAAATATTTATGTATATTTAAATTTAATTATATATAATCAAATATATAAAAATATTTTAAAATTATCCATATATATTTTTAATTTTTATATATATATTTTTTTTTATTTCTTTTATTATATTCACATATTTGAATATTTAGAAATAAATAAAAAATCTTTATATATTTTAATATATTTTTTATTTTTATATTTATTTAATTTCATATTATTATATATTTTTTATTATTATTATTTTTTATATTATTCTACATTTGTTTTAAAATTATTTTTTTATATTAATTTTTTATTAATTTATTTTTTAAAAAATCAAAATTTTTTATTTTTGTATTTTTAATATATTTATATTTCTTTTTTTAAAAATATTACTAAAAAATCCATATTTGTTTAATAGTATTTTTATTTAATATTTATTTTTTTATATTAAAATAACCGTATTTAAAAACAGTTTCACATTATTTAAATTTTTCACATTTTAATTCTTTTATCAATTAATCATACTCTTATTATGGT